TTTTTTTTCGCAGTTCGGCTTTTTCCAAAATCCCCTAAAAAAGAAGATGAGCTGTTGGCCAAAATTATGGGAAGAAAAAAAAAGAAAAACGAATTCATCGACGCCAAATAACATTAGGGTTGACAAGAAATAAACAGTGACGAAATCGAATTGACAAAAATTGGAAAATCGAACAGTTAATTTGCTTTTAACCTCTTCACAGTATATGCAAAACAACAGTTATTGGCAATTATAGTTTTATCTATGGATAACTGCTGCTAACTTCTTTTTTTTTTTCTTCTTCTTCACTTTAAATTTTTTTCCAATAGGACACAAATTAGTGCAACAAAATATGGCCAATACCTCAGCTGGAAACATCCGGTACTTCTATTTCTCAGCAGTTATCACTGAATGAATGAATGAATGAATGAATGAATGAATGAATGAATGAACACATAGATGGACCAATGGATAGATGGATGGATGGGTATATAATGGAAGACTTCAACAAACAATCCGATATTGCTTAGATGGTTAACAATGATCGCCCGGTAATCAAAAAAAACGGTTGCCCGGTGAATAAATCAAAGAAAAGAAAAACCGAAATGTACACAAAGAACACATTTGTATGCAAGAACTGAGAATCATTATTCTTGGTATAGTTCTTTGTTGGTATAAATGGGATTCATTAGAATCTATAAAAATGAATGAATGATATGAAAACAAAAAAATTAAAAAGGAAAAAGTAAGAAGAAGATCAGTATTGGCTTCTATATTTTTTTAACCAAATCATTCTCAGCTTTTCTTTTTTATTGTTTCAAACAGTAACAATTATGTAATATCCGAGTATATTGCTGCATATCAAAACAGTTGCTAAAAATTTAACCTTCAATCAATGAATGCCAATTCTTCAGATTTTCGCTGATAAAGATATCAAGTCATTGCATTGTTCCCTCAAATTTCTTCCTCTTCTCATTCATTTCTTTTTCGTTATCTTCTAACTGCTCTTTCTTTTTTTTTTTTTTCTT